TGCTGTGTAGAAGTGTAGTTAATGACTAACCTGATTATCATCTTATGCATCCTTTTTCGGTGGCCTTTAAGTCCTGCTTAAGCAGACTGATTTCACCGGATATTGTTTCTATTTTCCTGGTTGTACTTAGACTTAGGAAAAAAGTCTTAACTGAGATTTGCTGTTTAGATGCTTTGCTACTAGGTTTAGCTTTTAACAGATTTACGGAGTCTGGAGCTTGGAGTGGAATTTCTGTTCACAACGAGTCTTAGAGGTGTCAACTGCATAAAGCTTTCTGTGAAGAGTCAGCAGCACGCTCTGCCACTGAAGTTTAAAGAGAATTCGCCTTAATCTCTTCAGCCAACTGAAGCTTTCTAATCAATTATGAACGGAAGGGATGAAGTATAGGCTCTAGAGGGATCTGCGACCGGATGCCAGCAGTCAGCTTCAATCTCCATCGGAGTTGCTAAGTGTCTGTGGCAGACGGAGTCACTAATATTTACAAATGTTAATTGATGGCAACACGGAGGGCACTGACCACGTTTGAGGCAATCGCATATCATTTCCGTGGATGGCGTGAATGCGTGTCAGAGCTGACCTTCCCAGTCCTCCAGTTTATCCGCCTCGTTTTAAGAACGAAGAAACAGGCCCAGAGAGGGAGGATCACCTCTCTGGTCCAGAATACAGATCTCCCGATGGGGGTCAATCGGACCCTACAACAGCCCCACGAGGCAGGCAGGCTGTGACTGGTGCCTTCCTGGTAATGAAGAATGTAATGGGCAGTGGGGCCGAGTGGAGAGCACTGCAGCCTGGAACCCTGAGCAAGACCTCTCCCACCGTTATTTTGTCGTAGCGTCCCGCTGGTTTCTTTCGCAGCTCTGATCACAGCTCGAATTACTTTACGTTTGCTGGTTTTCTGTGTGTTGGGAGCAGTCTGTCCGTCTGGTTCCCCTCTTAGTGCTGAGCACAGAGCAGACATTAATTCATGGTTGTTATGCTAGGTAAGCAGTGACTTGGCCAAGGTCACCAGGCGGTTAGACGAGGGACCTTTCCCTTCGCCAAGGTCACCAGGTGGTTAGACGAGGGACCTTTCCCTTCCTAGGACGCTGCTCCAAGACTGCACCCGCAAAAGTCCGGCTTGGAGGCGGGACTAGGGGGCGGGGCGGGGCCAGGTGTGGAAAAGGCGGGGCTAGGAGCCGACGGGGCCGCACCAGAGGCGGGGCCGAGGAAACGACTGGGCGGAGCGGAGGCGGGGCGGAGCGGACAGGGCGGGGCCAGAGAGAAAGAGGCGGGGCTTGGGCGGGCCGGGAGCCCCGAGCCTTCTCCAGCGTCTGGAGCCCGCCGAAAGCCTCGAGGGCGACGTTTCCCCGGCCGGCGCTGCGGAGCCGAGCAGAGCGGCGCGTCCGCTGCGTCTGCCTTCCCTTCGCTCTGACCCACGGTCCGCGCTCCGTCCCCGAGGCGTCCGCCTTCCCGCGCGGGCCGGGCGATGGCGGCGCGGGGGTCCGGGCTCCGTCCGCTCCGCCTCCTCCTCCTGCTTCAGCTGGTCGCGGGCCGCTGGGGTCCCGCCGGCGCCGGGGGCGACGCTCCGGGAGGTGAGCCTGGGCGGCGGAGGGGGGGTCCGGGAGGTCTCGTCATGGAGATGCAGAGATAAGGCCACTTCGGCTTTCGCTGTGGCTGCAGGACCTGCATCAGTGGAAACTGTTGGCTTGGCTTGGTATATACTTCCACACAACTTTTTCAATGAAAAACGCCATCGTTATCCAGCAGGGCTTTCCTTTCGTGGCTTCCGCTGGGCTTCCTCTTTGGTGCTGATTCACGGGGTGGGTTTACCGCTCGGGACTGAGATTTGATCTTCTACCCCCTGTCCCTTTCTTCTCCTCCATCTCCCTCCCTCGCCCCCAAAGCATTTGAAAACATTTCCTTTCCCCGCAGATGAAATGTGTTTGTTGTAGAGCGCTGGGCAGCCGACTTTCCCTGGCTTCTGGGCTAATCTGTTTGCATCTTAAGTTCCTCACTGGCTCTTTCCAGTCTACCGTCTTTCAAGGTGTGTTGAACAGGAACAGAAGCAACAAAAGAAAATGCTTAATGCTTCTTCAAATTTCACGTGCTTTAGAACGTCTTAGTCTTTTCTCAATACTTTGAAGAAAAATACTACCATTTATGGAGCACCTGTGGTGTGATCTAAACAGAGAACGTAGGAATCCTTTAAGCAGGAGATGAAAGTACAGGTTCATTAGATCTGTGTTTCCGTTTTTATGAGCGAATTTCTTAAATAGAGGAAACTAGTTTGGGTATGAGAAGAACTTGTTCTTGCCTTTCCTTCGTTAAGGTTTTTGAACTATGATTCCTGATTTCAGAAGTAATAATTTTGAAGACTAGAATTATTCATCGCAGGATGTATTGCTTACTGTAGACTGTAGAGAAATAAGGTGGGTGGTGATTTAAATAAATTAAGAAAATCTTGGGCAGAGATTTAAGTCTAACAGAAAGAAAGGAATGTGATTTTGGAGCGAGACAAACCTGGATTCAAATTATGGCTCTGGAGTATCTAACTTGGACAAGCTTCTCACAGCTGGCTTCCTTCTTTGAAAAATGGAGATAATACTGCTTACCTCTCAGAGTCATTTACAGTATTAATATATAAAATGCCAGGCACAGTGACTGACACTCTAGAACATGATAGTTCCCTACCCCTTTTGGTGAAACTGGAACTAAATCTGCTTTATCTGTTTTAATATAAAACATTGTAGCCAAGCATTAAATGGTGTACATAGCTGTCTCTGTTCATGCCTGGTGTTTAGTGTTATAACCAGCGTTGATTACATCCTTCTTTCTACCCGCGCTGTACTTAATGAATACTGCTCTTATAATAGCCATCTCGTTGTATTACATTTATATGTTTGTTCTCTTTGTCCCATGTGAGCTCCTTAAGAAATATGATTCCTATCCTGTTTATCTTTGTATTCTCAAGACCTAGCTTGTTGTAGGAGCCCAGTGAGTGTTTGTAGAGTGAATGAATGGAGCATCTCTCTGGATATTAGTTTCCTCACCTGTGAGGTGAGAGGTCAGTAGAGGCTCCCCCTTCCAGCTGTAAAATTCTAAGATTCTGTGTGCTCTTAGTAACTGATCATCTTGAAGAACAAAGTGACATCGAATAGATGATGTAATTGTACATTTGTTCCTAAATGTTAATATGATTTTGTGTACAACTGCCTTTGAAAGTGGGGTGGCTGAGAGTACTGTGTGGCATCAGAAGACCTGCCACTAACTGGCTGTGTTTCCTTGGGCATTATTACTCGACCTTGCTGATTATCTATTTCTTCCTCTTTAAAATGAGAAGGTATACCAGTCAGCTGCCAAAAAAAAATAAATAAATAAAATGAGAAGGTGGTAGTAGATGTTTTTTAGGTCCTTTCAACTATAATTGCTTTTATGTTTACATTTTATTGTTTATATATTCATCTTAGATTCTAAATAATAACTGTTCCTTCTGGTTTTCTGTGAGCCAATATCTAGTCAGCCAGTAGCCATACCTATTTGGCTGATGGAAGGTCATGAAACTGTGGAAAGTGGACCAGAAGGCAATTTTATGTGTATTAAAATATAATTACCTAGTACATTAAGATAATACAAGCCTTTTAAATTGACCTAACTGTGATTGGGAAAATGATTTATGGAAATTAGATAGTCATTAGTCAGTTATATTTCTTAGCTGTGTGACATTTTTAAGGGTTGAAACTTTATTTTTAGTAAATGTGGTGGCTACGTGCTTCATTCAGAGGAATATAAAATAACTCACAGAAAATTAGAGCTATGAAAGATTTTTTTCTTACCTTTAGTCATTTTAATTAACATTTTTAGAAGCTAACAGAAATACACATATAGTGAGTGACTGTCAGCTCTGCTTTTATCTATGTGCATGTCCTTGGATAAACTTTTCACACAATTTAATTTGAAATTAAAAATTATTTTGGTTTCCTAGCAAATACTAAATGTGCTATATTAGCTAGACTATGAGTACCTGGAAAGTAGGGTTTTATTTGCGTATTCCTTGATACATTGCAGATGTATCTGAGTTTATTAATGTAGCCTATCAATGGAACTCTGAGAACGTTTTCAGTCAGTTGTCAGAATAGGTTTTTTTTCCAACCTATAATCTGCAAATTAGATCAAGCAAGTAATTTTTTATAATCAGGATATGAGTTTTTAGTTCAGTAATTTAAGTACAGAACATTTTTCTTCTAATAGCGTTATTTTTCTCCTCTAAGAATTGGAGTTAAATTCATTCAGATGATAATTCAATATCAAATAAGCATGTCGACAATGAGAGTTAAGTATTGAAACAGTTTTTGAAAGAAGTTTAGAATTTGTTTCTCTAGAAATCTGCTCTCCAGTACAACATAGGTATAGTTTTATAATGACAACATGATATAAAAGATTATTATTAATTATCCTTTTCTGTTCTGTGATGAAACTTTTTTTACTGTCGTTTTTGGTTTTTGGTGGCTGGCTGGTATGGGGATCCAAACCCTTGATTTTGGTGTTACAAGGCCACATTCTAACCAACTGAGCAAAACAGCCAGCCTCTACAGTGAAACTTTTAATTTAGATGTTTTGTTCCCATTTTGGAGAAACATGATATTGTTTCTCCTACTCTGTTAATTCAGTGACTTCATGCTCTTTTTCTAAAGTAGATTTATAGAATATAGCTTTTACATAAAAATAGGAATTAAAAATCAATATTTGAATTCTGACAAGGACAGTATAAACTTTTGAGTTTTGTTTTAGTTTTTTAAACCATCAACAGTATATATGGAATTGGGCCAAACTCTTTTTCTTCTAGGTCAGGGTCTCTCAACCTCTGAAATTTTGTGCTTTGATATGGGGGTGGGGGTGTCTTGTGCCTCGTGGGATGTTTAGCGGCATCCTTGGCCTCTGTCCTTGAGATGCTGTTGTACCCACTGAAAAATGTCCCAGACATTGTCAGATGTACCCTGGAGGACAAAATTGTTCCCCTTACACCCCACCCTTTTAGAACGGCTGCTCTAGGTCCTGTCGACCAAGGCTTCTCAAACTTTAATGTGCACAGGAATCCCCTGGAATGCAGAAGCCGATTCAGTAGGTCAGAGGCAGGGCCTGAGATTCTGCATTTTTAACACGCTCCTGGAAGATGTGGATGTTGCTGGTCAGAGCACCACACTTTAAGTAGCAAGGTTTATACCAAGTGGGTGAATTCTCAAGGGGATCCAATGGAAGTAATTATGCAAGTAGTGAATTTACAGTGATTTATAGCCCAAACAACTTAAGTGAATAGAAAATAAAGAAACGAGCATTGTTCTGCTTTCCTAACAAAGCAGCTGCTTTCACTTTTCCATATTTCCTTCCAGTCCTTAGTATTCATTTATAATTGGATGCTCCTAAGAAGGAAATTTGCCAGAGTCTCATCAAGGTCATACAGGCTATAGTGAGCAACGTTACATGCCGTTAAGTGTTTTACTTCATAATACTGTAAATGTACTAGTCGTAATACATATTTATTGCTTGTTAAGAGATTTATGGTGCCAAATTAAGGTAGTGACTCTGCATTTATTTGAACTGATGATGCTCAAACTTTTTTTTCTTTAAGTGTAAAGATCGTCTCTTCTCCTTGAGAACTATTGACTGGACCTAAATTTAACACTGCCTAAGGTCGTTTTCTTACTGCAAGTGTCCTGAGAGTCAGGGAAAGATGTTAAATTAAGTTTACTAAAGCATATCAATTACAGTGTAACTTTATCCTATAATTCTCTGATAAAAATCAATATAAAATATAATGAAAATCCTGGAGTGAGTGGAAAAAAAAAATCCTCTGCATTTCATCTATAATAGTTAAAATAATGATTGGTAAGCAAACTTGTCACACTGAAAACGTTGGATATAGTACCCATTTCCCCTTATTTACAAATGGTTGATTATGTTCACTGCTTTATCTTGCTATTGCTTAAAATAGCCCTCCTGGGACTGCTGTGAAGAGGATTTTTTAAGAAAGGAATGTAAGTCACTTTTCGTTAACTTAAAAAAAGATACAAGGAGACTTAGAGGGGAAGATTACTCCAGGAATGCCTTGGTTGTGAATAGCGGATATTTAATATGTATCACTCTTACAAACCATTTAAGATGCATTCTTATTTCGTTCTTCTGGCCACCTGGGAAGAAGAAAAGGAGGGCTCTTGGCAGCACCTAGTAAAATTTAAAATGTGTATACCCTTGCCTCAGCAGTTCCACTTCTGAGAGTTAGTGCTATAGAAATTTTTGCAAAATTATGAAAAATTGATGTGCAAGGCTATTAATTATAGCATTTTTCCATTATAGCATTATTAGAAATAACAACAACTGAAAACTATATAAATGCAAATCAATGGTAAAGCTTAAAGTAGGATACACTCATAATGAAGACCCCTTTGAAGCTTGTGAAGAAAAGAGATGAAGATGGATAGATATCTATTGACATATAGTATTAAATGAAAAAAGGAAAAAATTTGTTCTTCATGTGTGTGTTCATACGTGTAATTAAAAATGTCTAAACAGCAACCTTAAAAATGGTTACCCTTGA